TTTTTATGATATAAACCATAAGTTTATAAATGGTAAGTTTTTTATTAGGAACCATCAGAGTATTGCATGGTTGGGCCCTTAAATTTCTGAGGTAAACATTAGTGATAGGTGGCTTGGGTTGATACATTTGAGATAAGAGTTGGAGCAACATCTGAACTTATGATGTGATACGTTAGCAACTCATCAGAATATGGTGACAGTTAGATGTTGATGAGTCGCCAAAGAATATGATTTATTCATGAAAGGTGAAATGATCATAAATCGTGTACCTATTTAAGAGGGGAAAACATTGATACTCATTTTCGCAAGAGAGAATATCCTAGAAAGGTGCACCTTAATGATTTAAGGGCAAGTTTAGACACTTGCAGATGAGTATCATAAACAAAACAAGTGCACCAAAATATGTGTGATTTAATATGAAAGAGAGAGCTATTTTAAAATAAAAATAGATAGGGTGTCTAGTTCTGCAAAACAATAAAAGGCATCTGATTGATATAAAATAAGCACGAGAAACTAAATCAGCCCCAAATTACTCAAGGACATTCATTTGAAAGAAAATGAGCTCTAGTTATCTCAAGATGTCTTTTTTGACTTTGAACTACTCCATTTTGGGATAGAATATCGAAATAGAATGTAATGAAGCATCCTATTTTGTGTCAGGTACTTCTAAAAGGGTGCTAAAAATATTCTTTGGGAGTCACTTCTCATAATCTTAACCAAAATATTGAATTGAGCTTTAATTTCAACACAAAAAGATTGAAAATATGACAATACCTGAATATGAGATTTCAAGTCAGTTATATGAAAAAAATCAACCAAATATCAAAATCTATTCGATAAAATAGTATAAGATCCCCCACACATCAGAATGAACTAACTCAAAACTATAAATGACTCTTATTAACTCTGTGAACAATGATGGTATTCGATAAAATGACACGACTCTCAGTCTAAAGAAAAAAAAACCGTTAAAATTGAGTGCACAATTTTTTAAACATTAATAGAGATGGATGTCCTAATAGACAATGAATCTTAAAAGGAGATAAGGTGCCGAAACAAGATACAAGTTGAGGCACCTCATACTCCAAAATGTATAGCTACCCACCCCCTCATTCTCGTCCTTTACCAATCATCTTCTTCGTCATAAGATCCCGAAATAGACAAAAATCAAGAAAGAATATGATACAATAATTAAGAATAGGTATAATGTTGTTAACATGAATAAGATCAAAAGTAAAATGAGGTAAATTGAGAACAAAAGTTATAGGCAATGTAATATTAATGATGACAAAACCAAAAACATTAGAGGTAGATCCATTTGCTAAAGTAACAAAAGAGAGGTGTTTATGAAAGGCGAAAAAGAATTTTAAATTACCTGTCATGTAATTTGTAGCATTAGAATCAAAGACCCATTCTTTGAAAGATGAAAAAAGACAAGTGTTTTTATTACCTAACTCAACAGAGACAGTGAACGATGAGGATTTATTATACGTTTCTTGAAATTTGATGAAATTGGCATATTCATCTGCATAGATCAAAAGAGTTTGACTCGGAGAGGCTTCAGTGGCAGTGACAATATGAGTTGACCGTGATTTAGAACCCTTCTAGTTCTTTTATAGCAATTTCAAACATGCTCTCTTTGTATGACCAAATTCATGATAGTAATAACACATTATCTTAGACCCTTGATTTCCAAATTCGCCATTACACTTATGTAACTATTTTTGAGACTGAGATTTACTTATCAATGTTTTTCTAAATAGCAAGAGCACCGGGTAGTCATTCAGATGAGGCCTAAAAATTCATGATCATATGTGATACTCTAGTATAAGCTTCCATAAGAGCAATACATCCAGGGTCAGCTAAGATATGTGATTTAACCCTTTCATACAGATAGTTGAGGATTGCTAGAAAACTCATGACAGTCATTTGTTCTCTTTGAGTTTATTGAATCCAGACACCAGTAAGTACTAAAGGGAAATAGTGTGTTCAATTCTTCATACACGTTTAAAGTGCATGTGATATGTGATGTTTAGTAAGATATGCTTATATATCAAATATTCGAGAAATATTCTCTCCAAAAAAACACAAACGACAATTCCTCCATTGCATATTTAACACATTCATAATGAGTAATATGAGTGAATTGACCATATTTGATGGAACTATGTATTTGTATCAAAAGTTGAAAATCCCTCTTATCCACTCAAAATAATTCGACTTAGGGTATATCTGGGGCAGCTGCAGCTTATTGAATAATTTGTCGATAAGCTATGTGCGGTGATTAATACTTTTTTTTTTGAATAGTCAGACCGCGGCCAAAAAGCTGCAACCGCACCTAGATATGTGTGGAGTCTCAAGTGGAGGATAAAATGACTCTTGAGAAATACTCCATAAATAGTCTCAAAATTTTATTTCATTAAAAATAATTAATTTCATTTAACTTTGCATCTATAATCTTAGCAAATGATGAAAACCAAGCCCATCACAAAATGTTCATGTTCACCAGCCAAAATGGATGTCAATTAGTATTGAAAGAAGGACTGGGAAAGCACTCGAGACAACTCCCCAACCCATTGTTCATCTCTAAATAACCAGTCAAACTAATATAACAACCGAAAACACAGAGCCAACAAAACATGTCAGCTTCGTCGATGCCCTACTGCCATCGACGCAGATAGGGTTGAATAAGTGAATGAAACCGAAGATGAAGTCGATGCAGATGGCACTGTTCGAAGCGGATGGCATTGTTCAAAGCGGAGGGAGACTCGCAAGAAGCCGATGATGTCTTCATATGAAGCAATCAAAGCGAAGGAAGACTCAAGAGGAAGTAGGCGATGCCTTTGTAGGAAAAATGCAAATTCGTAGCGGAGGCAGACAATGTCGCCAATGAAGTAGTCGAAGACACCGACCAAAGTAGACAAAGATGTTAATGATTACGTTGCAGTGTGCTGAAGATCACTTTGCAGGAAGCAATCAAAGGCGTTGATGAAGTCAAAGAAGCAACGAAACACATACAAAGACTCCTCTCATAAAACTTTTGAATAACAACAAAAAAAATACGAGTACAAAACCGTGGAATGTAGTGATAGGTTATTGGAGAGTTATTGAGAGGCTATACATCAATAACATCTCAATAACTCAATAGCTGAGTTATTTGAAGGTTATTTTGTGGAATATGCATGTAGAACTGCGTGTGTATTTCGTACGTAAATAACCCTCGTAACTAAAACCCTTCTTAATATATATATATATATATATATATATATAAAACCTTATCTATGCATGAAAATGCATATTTCACTTTTTTTAACTTAAAATAGTGATTTTTTATGTGATATGAAAGATTTGGGTGGCATAAACCTAAAAATAAATTTTAGGAGTTAGATGTGTAAATACATAGGAATTGGGTTGTGTGGATGTAAATTCCACAATTCATAACATGGAATCAACCCCTTATTTAAAAGTATGCTTGAGAGAGAAATAAGTGGATTACATTTTAAGCTACAACTCAAAAGGTGACATCTCATTACCTCAACCAATTAGAAGAAAATCAACTAAACTGAAATGGGCATTCCATGATCCTCACATAAAATAACACAGCATGAAAACAGAAAAAAAAAAATTTGAGCAATCCCACATTATCTCTCTTCCCTACCTCAATTTTCTATCTACTATTTTCATGAGCCAATTGCAGGTGATGTAGGTGAAAGACAATGGAAATCCAAACAATAAGCTTTCATAATTTCATTTTCTACATTCTAAACACTCCATTCAACAACATTTGATTATCAATTAAAATAAATAGCAATAATAGAAGGATTAAGACAAAAATAACATACTCACTTGCTTAATTTAACTCTATAACTAGGCACTGTCCAGCAATTTCAGTCCAGCGGCACAGGACAAAACAGATGATATGATTCTTCTTTGCAATTCTTTATACTCCAAAGCTAACTTCACATCCCAGTTCATCTCCTCACTGCAAATATGCAGAAAGCTTAAAAAAAAACTGATCCAGAAGAATTCAGTCTGGAGTCGGAAGATCATTACCCGACGAGATCATCCCTCTCTCCAAGCCCTTCCATCATAGGTTCAAAAATAGAGATAATTGTTTCCAGCAATGCTGTCTCATTTTCCTGAGAGAACAAAAAGAAGCTTCTGAGTTAACAGTTTTGAGAGCTTTTGGGTTTACCCAATTAGCAGAAAAGTAAGAAATTTAAAAATGGATGGACATGAAATGTAAGATCATCGCAAATTCTTGGTTGATTTCTTCGATCATAACCTCACATCTTTAAAGAAAGCTTGAATATAAAAAATAAAATGAATAAGGAAAAAAGCAAAAATTGGAAAGTTGTAGGAATAAAAAAGCCATCCCAAATAATTTAGGCTACTAAAAATAATGATAATTCCAGTAATGATTATGTTGTAGAAGACAATGGAAAGGCCAGTTAAGATCCATTCACAAGCTCTGAATCAAAATAACTGAAATGGATTTCACAGGTCATTGAGAAAAAATATTAGGCAGTCCAATATTTAGTTGAATAGATTGAGGCTTTGTTGGAGAATCTTTAAAACGGCTTTCCTTTTTATGGAAAACAGTTTTCCCATTTTTGTAGTTTGATTGACATACTTTCCTAAAAGTGTTTCTCACAAAACATCATTTTGTATGCTTTTTATAAAATAAACAATTTTTTAGAAATATAAAAGCTGAACCAAATAAGACCTGAAAAGATATCACATGGAGAGCCTTACGTCTTCTCCAGGAGCCACAGGAGGCTGCTCCATGCCACCACTTTTCAGAACTGAACGGAGATGAGCCAAGAACAGTGGAGACAACCCATATGTGCGGAGTTTGTTATTCTTTGAAAACCAAGAACCCCGCACCATGTGACATGTCCTGAAACTTTCAATGGTCTGAGATTGGCAGTCCTCTGTTTCAGGAACCTCAAAATCTGCAGTGAAAATCAGATATATCTCATCAAATTAATATTCAGGGAAACTCATTTTAAATGACACGACACGGTACATGAATATGAATGTTTTAATTTACAGTCATAACAAGGACCAGCAGCAAACACCGCGGTCCTAAATGATTTGACTTGAGCAAAGGAAACAAATTACTGCTCAAGGCAAGGAACCTTACACAACACTCCTTAAGAAATTTGCAGATCATTAAAATCTTAAAAGCACTAATCAAAATGTGATCCAATTATAGTCAAATTATAGTCGATGGATATGGAAGTAACTCTCACCAGAGATAAGGCAACAATAACTATGGGTTGTGAAAAACTACATACAACGGGTGCATTTTTAGAAGTAGTAAACCCTTTTACGAGCAATAAAAAAAGCTTTAAATATAGCACTAATTCTTGCTGGATCAAACGATCTTGAAAATTCCTTTGTCAATCGACAATGATTTTTAATATTGATCATTACACCATCAACATACCAACCAATTTTCAGAGCTTATTGATGCAAGTGATGAAGGAGAAAAGGAGATTCTCGTAGATTTTTTTTTATTATTATTCTTGAGAGGTGAGGGATTCGGTACAAGGGAAGAATCAAGGAGACAAAAAAAAAAGATCAAAGAGAACAGAAGAATGAGCACCTCATAGAAAGAGAGAATGGGGATGGAGAGAAAAAGCATAATATAACATTAAAGGAGATCGTGGGCTCCAAAAATTTGATGCCTCGGACTCTCTTTGTAGTTGAGAGAGCTTCAAATTTGGTTTGAGAGAGAACTATTACAGTTCAAATTTGCAGAATACATATTGGATTGTAGATAAGACACTACTCAGAGATTTGAACTTTATTTTGAGAGGGCTTTTGATCTGGGATTTGAGGTTTCCCAAAAGCGCATGCCCCTATCGATAATCACTCATCCGAAATAGGGAGTACTTACAACTAAGACCAATCATTAAACACTGAATATTCAAATATAGTAGCAACAGACTTGAGGTTTAAGATTGATTATTTTTATCACTTTGAGCTTAAAGTGAATGTTGGGGAAAAATGGTGATGAACGATCATGATCTCTCATCTACTTAATTAGAGAAGAAAGTCGACTCAATCTGACTGAAAAATTCTTATTAGTAACTATGAGTTACATCGTCCAAGGAAGCATTGTAGATTTGGGGCAAGAGTTTATCCAAGAGCAAAAAAAAGTAGTATCAAAGTCTTAATCTGTAGCAATCTTGTTATTGCCTTTCAGGCTAGCCTTAAGCACGACTGTACTGCGAGAATCGCGATCATGAGCAGGAATAAAGGGCTTCAACTAGAGTGGTAAAGGATATAAGCAAGAAAATTGTCTGAATGTGGTTTGTTGTAATCAAGAGGACTCGATGTCGAGAAGGGCTATGAAATTGCTTCTAATGGATAAAAGGAACAGGAGCAGTTTCGACATCCTAGGGCAGGATCAATTAGTCTTGTTTATTTATTTATTTTAATTATTTTATTTTTTAACCTTCGATAAATGGCCCCCAATAAATATGATGCGTGCTTGAAGTGTACCATATTTATTGCAAATTGATTGACACTATGGATCTCCAAAAGTTTGCTTGGATGCCACATTGAGGGTTTCACTTTGCGGTTGTCCCAGATAAGTCACAAATGTCAACACAAAAAAGAATTTCTAGTTGGATATATAGGATTATATCATTGGAGATTGCTCTTTAACTGATATTGTTTCTTTGTTTAAATAACTTCCTGAAGACTCGCACCCATTTTGGAATAGACATATAGCCCTCAAGCTGTTCTTTGGATTTGAAATTATTCAGGTCAGATATAAGAGATTCGTGAGCCTAACAGAGGTATCAATCTCATGTTTTAGGTTTGATGAACTTGTTGACGAATTATCCTGATTTGTTCTTATTTATTTTTCAGGAGAAAACTTGGATTGTTTTTTTGCGTTAGAATAGTAATTTTAGCAGGCTAAATGAAAAATATTGAATTGGTTTGTCTTTATTGACTTGTTGGAGAACATAAACACCTTTAATTTTATGCTTCATGCTTTAATGGACTTGATTGAAGTATATAGACTAATGACCTAGCCCTTAAGCTTGTATAAGGTCGCTAGTGAAAAGTCTAGCAATCATGTGCTAGGTGCTTTATCAGACTTGTTGACAGTTGACTTCCCTTTAGTTCAGCCTCAAACTTTATATGAACCATGTCATAACTTATTCTGCCCAATGCTTTCTGCTTTAATAGACTTGTTTGAAATTTTCTGTAATAATTTTTGAAATTTCAAAGCTCTTTTTTAGCTTTCGATCCAAGTTCTACACCTTGGCAGACTTAATAAAGATCTCATTTTAGCATTTTTTAGATTCCAAAACTCCTTATGTCCTTCAAATCTAGCTTTGTGTTTTAACAAACTTTTTGAAGGAATTGAACTGAATTATCTTTATGGATTTATCAGGTAAGTGCATACAATCATCACTAGCTTTGTGCTTTGATCGATTTATTGAAGGATGCATGGGGTTTTATGACTGGCTAGAAACACATTTTTGTATTACAAAAGAATTTTCAGAAGTATCTTCCATACATCTTTTCAAGCTTATGCTTTGTTTTAGAACCATTTGATTTACTTCTTGTTCGGCTTGTATAACATATTATAATGGAGAGCGAGTAACAACTAAAACTGACTTTTGCTAGCTTGCATCTGATGACCCCTCTTCCAACAAGGATTATAAGTCTGTCGATTTCAAGACTCACCGAGTATGAACATCAATCAACACTAGCTCATAATTCATACTAGCCATCTCTTTGGCTAGTTTGGCTAGACAATCTGCTCTACTGTTCTAAGCTCAAGAAATCCAAGTTAGTGTGACATGTAGAATTTGCTTCATAAATTGAATAGTTCTCTTGTGATAAAAAAACCAACCCAAACTTATTTATCTTATAAATGTCCAACACTTTATTTACAATAAGCTGCAAGTCACCAAAAATGTGAAGATTATTCACATTTAATGCAATGACTATCAAGAGCAACTATTAAAGCTCATTATTTGTCCAAGATTCAGTTAAGTCATATCAATACCTCATGATGCTTCCATCGAGTATCACAATGATGAGACCAATGTTGGTTTGTACCTTTAGAAGATCTGAAGGTTGGGTGGTCTAGATATAAGAAGCTCCATCAAAATATAGTTTTCAAATTTGTAGCTTCTCACTTTCTTGAATGATCATAATATGCTAATCGGGCAAGTTATCGTTGAGTGGGGAATCAACGGGGACAAAATGACCAGCGAGAAAGTCTGCTAGAAATTGTCATTTTACCGCTTTTCTAAGAACATACGTTATATCAAATTGTAAGAGCGGAACTGCCCATCGAGCCAAGCAACCTATCAATATTGGTCTTGTCATCAAGAACTTCAGTGGATTGATCCTTGAGATGAGGTTTATTTTGCGGGACATGTAATAACGAAGCTTTTGAACATTGAAAATCAATGTCAAACTATGTTTCTCAATTGGAGAATATCTTATTTCTGCTCGTATAAGCTTTTAACTGATATAATAAAGAGCATTCTCCTTGTATTGTTCATTATGTTGAGTCAGCATAGCTCCCAAAAACTATTCTACTACTGTTGTATGTAAAATCAAAAGCTTCCTTCGAGTCGATGCTGAAATAATTAGTACGCTTAAGTCACGTTTCTTTAAAATTATTGAAAACCTTTTGATATTCAATATCCCAATAAAAATGAGCATTCCTATTTATCAACTTTAAAAAACACTGGCCTAATAGGTTGGATATGAAATGTCGAATGAATGCGAGCTATCCTTGTAGAGAACTGAGCTGACAAAGTATTTCCAAAGACATCTTGATAATTGCTTTAATTTTGTTGGGATCAATCTCAACTCCTCTGTGATATACAATATACCCACCCAAAAAAAAAATCTAAAGATACCGCAAAAGCACATTTAAAAGGATTCATTTTAAAATCAAATTTTATGATTCTTTCAAAGATGATCCTCAAATCTTCCAAATGATCTCGATAATATTTGTTTTTGATGACGAGATCATCAACATAGCACTTTGATATATTGCTCAAGCACACTTCAAACTACAAGGCATGATTGCATAGCAATAAGTACCGATAGGTGTCCTGAATGATGTATTTTTTCATCTTTTGATTTCATTCTGATCTGATTATATCCTGATAATCTGTCCATTAAAGAAATTTCATAATTCGAAGTATTATCCACGAGCAATTTTGTTCTAGGGAGTGAAAAATCATCTTTTGGACATGTCTTATTGAAATCTCGAAAATCAATACAGCTGCGAATTTGGTCATTCTTTTTTTTCTCTCAGGCATAATATTAGATATCCAATCAACATACTTCTCTTATCGTATGAATCCAACTTCAATATTTTTTTTGGTTTCAACAATCACCTATTCTTCAATCGTAAGTCCCATTCTTCGCGGAGTTTGTTTGACAGGCGTTGCATCTAGATTGATGACTAGCTTGTAAACTGTTACATTAGAGGATAAGCCATGTACTTCAGCATGTGACCAAGAAAACAGCCCTAATTCACAGAGCAATGTTTTTATTCATTCAATTTTATCTTCAGGCAGGAGTGCACTGATGAAGGTTTGGTGAGGATTTTCTCCAGTTCCCAAAGTAATTTCACTCAACTCATCCATGGTAGATGTTTGTCTATCATCTTCTATTTCATATAGAGCAGGCTTGATATTTTCTTTCTGATCACTTGTAGAGTTGGTTTTATATGAATTTTCTTTCTTTTCAATTTTGATGTCAAACTAATTTTTTTATTACACAATAGAATATCTTTCTAGAATTCTTCCATCCAATAAATCCACGACATTTAGTTGTGCACTGTTCTCATCACATAATACTCGTGGGCCTTTCAAATTTAAGATCTTTTCAAAGTATTTAGCCCATTGTTTAGTGACCCTAACTTGAACACTTAAGTTTGACATCATTCTTTGGAATT